AAGAAGTGGAGCATCAGTTTATCCTCAATATTGAGTAACGTTTGCTTTCAACTCTTACTTAACCATTATTATCCTGTTCTTCTGGGATGTAATCCACTCACTGATATGCTCTGAAAGAAATGTCACATGCTCAGGCAGCAAAACATATAAATCCATTCAGAACAGAACCTAACATGAAGTTATTTTAAATTCCATTGCACCAAAGAAAACATGTTCACATGTCTCAAAGGTTTAGGCAGCAGAGTTGGGCACCAGCTGGAGTCGGTGGAGCGAAACAGGAATCAGTGGCTCACAGGTGTTCAGGCAAGAAAACTAAAAACTTCTGCTGTTTTTTTGACAGCAAGAGACAATGATTTCAGACAGAAACACTTTGATTTAGTCAAGCTTTGTCTAATTCGTTTCGAAATGCAGTATTGTTCGCTGTTAAAATAGCTTGTAGGAATTGCAGTTTAAATTAGTGTGAAAGATGCTGCAGCTGTGTTGTTTTGAAAATGTATAATGCAGGCAAAAAGATGGATACATGTGTTTTATGGTACATTAAATATAAAATATCTTTGCAGTAATGGAAAGTAGACATGTTGACTCTACTTTCAAATAAATGTCAATTGCTGACAGATAAAAAAGAGAGGTCTATACAGAAATGTATAGAGTGTTCCATGATGTGACTTGGAATAAGTGGGGGTAAATACAAACTCCTTGAGACACTTTTTTTCAATATATTATGATATATTTAAATTTAAAGGACTAGAGCAACCACTGAACCCCAGTCCAAGAATATTAATTACAATTTTGGCTTATTGAAAGAAAATAAAAAGTAATTCAGTAAATGCTAGCTGGCCAGGATTGATGCCATTAAATCTAAACCAACAGAATAAAAACTTGACCTTAAAAGAAACTGTAAAACAGATGCTTTTTACACAAGTTGTATAGATAGATTTTAAACAGTTATTTAATTATTTATTTAAAAAATATCTAAATATTGCCTAAATCCATATTAATAAAGACTTACAAACACTGCAGATTTTTTGTGGTTTTGGTCTTTACCAATAAGTAATTACCTATTTGTTAAAGCAATGGAATAATAAAATATCTTGTTTCTCTTGGAGAAATGCACATGGCCATTTGCCATTCATGCAAAATTTAAATTAAGATTATCTTTATTTGTTGAGAAATAACATTATGGCCCTTTTGGTCATATGTCAGTCAGATCATCCACCCTATATGTCCTGGATGAATGAGAATCCACACCAACACCACACAATAACGTTTCATTAAAATCAATCTAGTTCATCAGATTTTATGTCTGTAGAAGCTAAAAAATAAAAAAATAGAATAAAAATAAACAAATGTGCACACATTTGCAAGCATGTACATTATTGCCCTCTTTTTCAAGGATGTAAGCACATTTCTTATATTTAATTGCAGTTCCAGTAATGTTTTTTAATTTCATTCCAGCCATTTAAAAACAACTATGAGCATAAGGCTAAAGGAGAATTGATGTGCTGGAGAACTATAAATGTTAAAATAAAGTTGTGAACTAAAATAGCAAACTTGGTAAAATATTAAAAGTATCTAACTTTGAGGAGTGAAATGTTTGTCTTCACTGTGCCCTTGAGGGTTGTTGAATCTTGTGTTCTGATGYCATTTAGTTATTATTCCAGTTATGCTGCTTTTTATAATCAAGCACTGACAGATTAGTCTGCCTCTCGTACTAAACATATATTTTATGTTTATCTGTTGATTTTCTTTTTATTCCCTGTAGCAAAGAAAACCTCTAGGGTGATGTTGAGTTCAAGTCTGGTGATTAAAAAAAATAATATCAAATGAATCAAAGTGTCTGTTTGTGGATCATTCTGCTAGAAGTCACCTCTAAGCTCAATCTCTTGGCATTCATTAGGCCTCCTGTGCTCACTGGCAGCTGTTCTTCAACCCAGTGACTCAAATTCTCGTTTCCGCCATTTTTTTTTCCTGAACCGTGCTCATCCTGGCCACTGTCTCAGCTTTTCCAGGCTGGTGCTTTAACACTTCTGCACATACATTTCCTCAGGGACACTGGCCTGTGGAGGGCAACCTATTTCTGCCTTATGGCATACCTCAGCTCCCTGCCAATCACAGCACTGGCTTTGAGAATGTGTCATAAATTCCACCAAAAAGGCCTTTGAAAAAGATTAGGCTGAGATGGGGAACAGATCCCCTTTATTTATTTATTTATTTTCCATCTGACTGAAAGCTGGTTGAAAATAATCAAATTCACTGAGCTGTGAAAAGTGTCAAAGATGCACTTAAAAAAAATTCCCAAATAATTCAACCCATTGTTTAGTTGGCCAGCCTACAGCTTTCAGCATGCACTCACAAATCTTAATGCTGTTTGTGGATGC